GTTTGATGTTACGTACATTATTAACATTACAGAATCCACATATTCCTGCCAGTTTTAATATGTATTTTGTAATCAACAAGTGTGTAACACCGGTCAAAGTTTGACACTTCTCTGGCCATTATCTCCGTAACCGTTCAACTTTGGACATAGGTGTTTTGGGTTATATCGGCATACTTTAACATAAGGAACACCCTCCCGAAGTTTGGTCCATTCCTCCTGGGACACCCTGTATATCAATTACATTCTCTTGCTACTAATCATGTATGACCAAACACATTATCACTCAGACCAGTCCAAGTGTAATTGTTTTAAATTAAGTTTCTAATTCATTTGAATGTCTTGAATGCAAATATCCACCATGCAGCATATCTTCACAGTCCAGCTGTATGAAAACTATACAAGCTACTTGGTAACAAAGGTAGTAGAACATCTTCCAAAATAATTAGTCACTTTATCTGGAATTCCTGTAAAAAAAATTAAGATACCAGTTTGATTTATTCATACTATTTTAGCTTCAATTTGTCACAACATTAATTTTTATATTGATATACTGTTCCCACACTTCTGTAAGTCAGGGAAACTTGGGTTGAGAACCATAGGTATCTAATTACACAGTGAAATGGGTAGCCCTTCTGCTTTGTCTTCAGGAGGTGCCAGGTTTAAATCCTAACCAGGAGAACACCTGTTCTGAGAGGGTTTTCTTTGTCTCCTCAGCTCCTTTAAGCAGATCACTTTATTCCAGCTTCCAAATCTATTTAAAGTATCATTAAGTAAACCAAAAATAGTCAAGAATAAGAACAACACTTCTGTTGCATTCAAGCAGCAGAAATGAAACAAGATTAGGCAAAACTAAAAACAAATATATACTTACAGGAAACCTGTACAGAAAAATCTGTTGATATAAATTACTAAAATGGATAATAACAGTCTTCTGAAACTTGCTGTTATATTACAAATTAAAAGAAATATATAGATCTATGAATATCATTCAGTATGAAGTCAGAACAGGCTTGAGCCCAATCTGAGAGCAGCATAATAATTACTGATAATATCACGTTTAAATGTCCTATTTCTCTCATAAAATTGATTACTATTTTGCTGAAATGGGCATAGTTTTGACATCTCTGTGACTCACTGGTCTGTTTTAAATATTTATAATTCCTTCTTTATTTATACATCAGTGTACAAATTTCAAACAAACCTCCATTGAAACTGAGCCCTAATGTATGTAAGACTGCAAATAATTCTCTTTCATAAAAGCTGCATCAGTATACATTCCATGTACTGTTAAAAAAAATACAAGTAAAATTATCATGTTTCCAGGAGACATCAGAAACAAGAATTTCTAGAATACCGCAATGTGGTAGAATACAGTAAGCAGGTTATTCCTAGTATGTCAGTATACTGAAATATTAGGTCTGTGAATGCTATGCTCTCCAAGCCTATCTTCACGTCATTTTCAGATTTTAATCACATAGCCCTACATTGCGTCAATCAAGATACTTGTTAATTTATTGTTGTTGCATGTCTGTGGTAGATTTACTTAACATATCTTGTTTCTGTGGTGTCTTCTTTTTATTCTGAGAGGTGTTTGCACCTGTGGTAGATGGGGCAGTGCAATAAGATTACTATTTTTTGAAAATCATGTGTCTTAGTAGCAACTGTAAATATTGAAACTTGAGATGCTTATATACATATATAGAAAAGTGTGTGTACTCTAATGTCCCAGTTAACATAAATGCTATAAATAAAAATGATTTTTCCATAAATATTATCTACATATTTATAGAATTCCAAACTGGACCAAAGCCGACAGAACACGTAAGACACATCACATCCCTTTCGTTCTTTCGGCTGTGAACTGGTTTATGTTGCCTAGAAATTCTCAATTGTTATTCAAATATGCATTTACTACCAGTTACGCAAATTACGCTTAAGTAAAATCCCTGTGAAGAAAAACTATGTTCCTAAAGGCTTCACTTAATACCTTGTCCCTGTAATGACGAGTACATTTATTTTGCAAGCAAAGGAATGGAAACTCGTCTAATCATAACGGCGGCAAATTTTGTCCACTTGTCTTTTACCGTAACCTCATTTATATACAACACAAAATTATGTTACACCATTACCAACATCTCTACACTTCTTCACCATTTAGCGGCAAATGTCTGGTTTAGTTACAATTCCAACCGACAGGTTGCAGCATTTTTAGCAAAACTTCTATTCATCCCATAAGATGTCGCCCTAGTGCCGAATTATCGCGTCCTCTACCCGCCCAATCATCGGCACTACCCGTATCACGTGTCTGTAAAAGTCGAATGATGGCGCGGAGGCGGAATTGACAGTTCGTATCATGTTTACGGTTTACGCATTAGTTTTACGTGACTGCTTCGTTACATGCATAATTTCAGTTACGTGTCGTTAGTGCTATGTTTTTTATATTTTCGTTTCTTCTTATTCCAATGTTTGGAGAAGCAGACCAAGACTTACACCTGCTACCAGCTGTCATCGCTGGTAAGTTTTATCATTGAGGTTAGATGTAATGGCTAATCATGTCGTTCTATAATAGCAAGTTTGAGTATCGATATGTTAATCATGCATGAATATCTATTCGAGCATAGTAATGGGAGAGGAGGATTGCTGACCAGTCGAATATTATTATTTATTGTCAATTACGACACCCATTCTTCCTTGTCTCGCCGTACGTCTGTCAATGAGATAGAAAATTGTATTTCATTGTCATTTAACCGTGCTAAAATATCAGTTACACTGGAAGAAATGATTCATTTGATTTCAAGAACTTAAACAAGCTTTAATTCCACCTTTCATTTGCAGTTCATACTGTAAGTGTTTGGACTGGGTCTTACTGTACGAGAGCATTGTCGAATGGAAGAAGAATACGAGGTATAAGGTCATATCCCCGTTCATGATCATGCTACTGTCTTCTGTTCATCCGTCTGCAGACATGAAACGAATATGCTGTAACTGAAAGTATACCCATTTTACTTCATATCGCCTGTTTTTTGCTAAGATTTATTCAACTATTAAGTTTGGTACGGGGTAATGAGCACTTACTAATAGAGCTGAGTCCTTCTTGAGGAGAAGCCAAATCTGCAGCTACTCAAGAATTTCCCAGGATTTTATGGAACCCGAAGGTTCATTACCGTGTTCACAAGAGCCCTCAACTGGTCCCTATCCTGAGCCAGATAAATCCAATCCATACCATCCCATCCTATCTGTCTAAGATCCAATTTAATATTGTCCACCCAAATACGCCTTGGTCTTCCCAGTGCTCTCTTTCCTTCTGGCTTTCCCACCAATATCATATATGCATTCCTCTTCTCCCCTATTCGTGCTACATGTCCTGCCAATCTCATCTTCCTTGACTTTAATATATTCCATCTAAGTAAATACCAAACAGATCGAAGTATTATTTTAATCTAAGCATAAGAATTGTTTAAATAAACATTTTATGGGCAATACAAGAGAATATTGAACAATTCTCTTCACTTGGCACACGGAGGCACGTGCTCAAGCCAAGCGATAGGTGTACTTTTTCTCCCACAGCAACAAACATATACTGCACACATCACTAGTTCCATTTGAATGATGAGTTACGAACCTTCAGAAGTGTGTCTCAGACGGCAGACATGAAATTCAGGCCATAGCATCAAAATTCCAGTTCTCAGCTTTGATTCAGTATCCAAATGTTCGAACAATTTATTTCTAGGGTCAGCATTCAGCTTTTTATACCACCCGCAGTTCCGTACACAAAGGCCAAGGAACACTACGAACAATTAACTGACGGGTTTCAGACTGTATAGATCTATGCATGGGGAACCAAACAAATCAGTCAGTGTAAGGAGTAGACCGAGAAATTAGATTTCAATTCCCAACAGAGGCAAGAGATTTTTCGCTTCTCCATAATGTTCAGACCGTCCCTGGGGCCCATCCTGCCTCCTGTAAAATGGGTAACGGGGCTGATTCCCCGGGGGTAAAGCCCAGAGAGGTGAAGTTTACCACTCACCTCCATTTGGTACCAAGATGAATGGCGATTGAACTGTACCTCCATGTCTTCATACGTCTTCATTGCGTGGTGTTTAAAAAGCTTTACTTTTTAAGATTATGCCAACGTTCGTTGGCTGGCATTGGGTTTCTGTGTCATAATCGAGTTCCATAAAATTCGATGGAAGTAAGTTCTCAGCTTCACGCCCCGACCGATTTACCCTTAGTAGAACCCATAATTTAGTCACTTATCAACTGAGATATCCCGGCTCCATGAAATAAATAAAAGTAGATAAACACATGAAAAACAATGCTAAAGTAAATATTTCGAACTGAGGCAAATCAGTAAGCCAACACAATAACGAGCTAACCCCATGGTTTTTATGATTAGGTCTAAGACAGTTGATTTTGCCTAGCTCAGATGGAAATATCAAAAAACTTATTAGAACCAACATGTAAATGAATTATACACGTACTACTGGTCTCTGTCTTGACAGTACTGAACCTTCGACTTCTAAGGGCAGAGAGTTATGTTAATTTGTCAGTTCACTGGTTACTTAATACCGTTTGGAAATAATTTTTAACAATCTAAGAGGACGTTTTGGAATTACAGTAATCTTCATATAGGCCGCGCCATAGCTCAAGCGGTTAGTTGCTGGCTTCCCATCGCAGCGGCCCGGGTTCGATCCCGGGTCTGGTCAAGGGGAATTTGTGGTGGACAAAGTGGCGCTGGGGCAGGTTTTCTCCGAGTACTTCGGTTTCCCCTGCCAATCTTCATTCCACCAATTGCACCACAATAACCCTCACCTATCATCTGTAGCTGGTACAATAGGCCAGAAGTGGCTGCAGTGCAAGGAATTTAGTCCCACCCCACTAACAATAAAAAAAATAATAAAAATAAACAATGTTGTAAACAACTGTTCGGAATAACCTGTAGTCCCTACCTTCTACATCGAATTCAATTTTACCCTGAAAACGTAGCGAGTATGTTCCTCCCACATCTACAATATCCACGGTGTCACAACTCATACAGGTCTTATAGGCCTTTGTATTGTAATCCTGTCTTCAGGACACTAAACTGAAACCTGTTTGTCCATGTGAGTTCTACACAAACCGGCAGCTCTCTGTGGGCTGGTTTACGAATGAATATAAAGCAACATTTTAATGTACTTGCACCTCGTTTTCCAGACACAAATGTTAGGATTTTTCTCTGAACATAAGGAAACTTGTTATTAATTCCAGGCATTTGTCATTCCCTTTACACATGACGTGGCTGCAATTAAAAACAAACACACATCGTGGTCATTTTAAGCTCAAAATTTCAAAATAATATGATGAACAGAGAGCCTTGCCTAGCCGACGACCTGTATTCGACAGACACCTGCCCAAGCATCTAACTTTTCGTAACGCGCATCATTCGCTTTCCTATAGAAATATTATGTCCTATAGGGTGTACAGAAGTTTAGGGACCCCTGTCTGAAGCCCTTCAAAAGAGTTTCACTGTAGTCCTAAAAGCAAAACCATGAATAAATATGTGGATTACAGAAACACGATAGCACAACGATAGGCAATAACTTCGTCCCTTGTATTACAGGTCTATCGGTGCCGGGATAGCGTAGTCGGTATAGCGACTGGCTACGGGCTGGACGGCCGACAGGTCGGAGTTCGAATCCCAGTAGGGTCAAGAATTTTCCTTTCTCCACGTCGTCAAGATCGGCTCTGGAATCCACCCAACCTCCTATCTAATGGGTACAAGGGGCCCTTTCCCCGGGGGTAAAGTGACCAGGGCGTGAAGCTGAAGACTCACCTCCAACTAATGCTAAGGTCAAGAAAATGTGGATGTATTCATCCACTCCGCATACGCCTTCATGGCATGGTGTTTAATTGGATAAGCACAGGGACAATTTTACCTTCATTAGAGACATATGGAAGGAATTGGACTGTATCTTTACTTGTTGGTTTGTATGGTTGGAAATTTGTTCTCTTACCCTGAGGAAATATAAAATGAGGGTACTTGAAAACAGGGTAGGCCTACTGAAGAGAATATTGAATATCGGAGGAAGAAAGCAATTAGAGGCTGGAGAAAATTGCGTAAGAAGTGTCATAATTTGTATTTTTCATCGTAAATTATGCGGTTAACTAAATGACGGAGAATGAGATGGGCAGTTGATTAGAACGCATGCAAGAGATGTAAAATACACAAAAAAAAACTGTAGTTGAAAAAAATCTGAAGAGATGAGAACATTCGGAGCATAAAAAGCATGAATATGAATTATGTTTATGAAAGTCTGATAGATCTGACTCTGGAATCGCTAAGAATTTAGGGGTTTGGGAAAACGGTACTGATTCTTCAGATTGAGTTTGTGTTTATCAGTTGCTTAGCACTTCCCTCATAAAGAAGAGTGTTTTTTCCTTCAGTCTACTTTAATATGATATTTAGCTCTGTAGACAGAAAACGATAAGATAACACTTTGAACTAGAGCGCAGCAGAGCCCTCGCATTGCTCAAGTTTAATTTTATAATGACTTTTGAAGAATGTACTGATTTTATATGTTGAAGTCCTTTTAGTTCCCCACACAGATCCAAACTAGGCCTTAATAAATGGGCTATAGGCCCACTGCCACGAGACGCAACTGTATCATGCATAGCTGAGATGAAAAACGCAAAGTCCTCATATGTACTTCAGGATTCAGAGGTGTACAGAAAGTGAACTCTTCCTGTCCTCAAAAAGCGCGTTCTGCTGAGTCGTATCTTATTGTGAACTGATCCACGAGTCCTTTCCTACTGTAGGAAGGATAATTGGAGGAGGCAAGGTCACTCTTACCCACTCAACACAGTATGCCCCAAAGACTAGTCCACTACACGGTTGTTCGTAATTTTCATTTAAGCTTGAAAATCGTGGTCATTTAAAGATCCAACCTACGTAGTAACCACACTCCCTCATGTAATTTATACTCAGCCTCAGTGTCGATTCTAGGCGTTACAATCTTTGAACATAAGCTGTGGACTCCTTGACAGATTTTCCTGAAACTCAGACGAAAGTGACGTCACTGGAATGCGTAACGACTCCGAATTTCTGTGTTTACATTTCAAAGGTGCGGGAAGGAAGAATATGAAGAACACATAAATGTCTGGGAACAACTTTCTTTCCTCTAACTTGTCCCATCTGCGTTACACAAGACCACCTGCATGTTTCCGCTTTAAAACTCAACGAGACTTTGTGGAATTTGAGGTTCTCACAGCAGTGAAAATCCATAGGGTTGTGAGACGTCGAGGCTGACTCATTTTCTCTAGACAGTCGGCTCACAGATGGTGGTAAGGTTGTCAGCCTTACGCCCTGGACGCCCTTTGCCATCCAGGAAGATGGCTGGTATCATTTGAAAAATCCAATGACCTCAGCAGAACTCGAACCTGAGACCTTCCGACTTGTAGCCTAGTGCCTCAACCAACTACGCTACCGCGTGCTCCCACATCTTTTAGTTAAGTGAGGGAAATATTGTACAATATTC